TTTTTTTTTAACCAGAGAAAAGTGGATTTTATCCTCTCTACTTTTGGGTTGTCATATGTGAGAAGTTGTTTTTCTTTGTTTCGACTACTCTTGGCTACCAACTGATCTTAAAGTGATAGTGTTAGAAATGAATGATCAGCATGTGATTGTTTGTAATTTATTTGACAGCCTCTCAATTGGAATGGATAAATAATCCTGAAGACCTGGTGAATAACTTGCCTTCTGGGTCAAACAGTCGAGAGAAATGGAGCTAACCCACTGTACTTAGATTGTCAGTGTTCTGCTTCTGTAGCTGGTTTGGGTGATGGTGCAACTTCTTTGCCTGTCGCTCAGCTAGAGAAGTTGCATGGCTTCTCTGGGTTTTGTCAAGAGAGGTTGCATTGCTAAACACAGAAGTAGGTGGCTGTTTTCTCAATGTAAAAGCTTCCTGCACAATGTTTAAAATCTTGGCAACAGGGAGGTTGTGGAACCCCCCTCCCTGGAAGTGTTCAAGGCCAGGTTAGACAGGGCTTTTTGCAATCTGGTCTAGTGGAAGGTGTCCGTGCCCTTGCAGGGGGTTTGGAACTAGATGAACTTCTAGGTCCCTTCCAACTAAAACCATTCTCTGATTCTAACAGCCTCTCTCTAAGGGAATTAATGTGAAGTGGTTAGAGGTACTTTATTTAAAATAAAGGGCTTCTGTGGCTTTTATTCAGTTTAAAAGAAAATTTTGCCTCAGTTGTAAGAGGCAGAGTATTTTTCAGGTAGCTTGGGTGGGACTTACAACCTAGAATCAGGGGTGTTTTGTATGTGTTTATACTTTTGACTAGCTTTAATTAAGTCATTAGTATTGGGGATGGTCAGAATCCAGATTATGTTGATTAATTCTGAATGTTCCTCTTTGGTTTTAGATCTCACTGTTGACCTCAACAGTAAATCATCTCAAGACTAACATAAAGTCTTCTGCTGACCTAATTGGTCTTCCAGTCACAGTAGAGAAACTTCAGAAGGCAAGTACTGTAAATGGTTATTGTTCAACATGTTCTGTGCTGCTAAGCTGCAACTGTCTTGGGGTCAGCAATGACAACAGGAGTTACCTGAATTAAATGTGAGGAATATGTGCTTCTCCCTCTTGTTTTTAAATTGGTCTTCATATACTTCATACTGGATGGTCCTACAATAACGTATGGCAGATAAAAAATTTGAAGGCCTTGGTTGTCCCTTTCTGCAGATGTATTTGTTTCTAGTTGTATTATATTACCACTTCTTTACCTTGGTGCTGATCTTTCTGGATGCTTTCCTTTAGTTGCTAATCTCAGTACCATTTAAGACACTTGCAAAAAGTCTGTCTGCAGTTTTACAACTATGCTAGAAACAGGTGGTTTGTTGAACTTTTTTAATTGGGGGAAACAAAATAAAAATGGCTTCCTGGAAAACTTCCCCATCTTGAGCAGTGTGTAGGTCTACATTTGGCTCTGCATTTACAGTCTTATCTTCCATGGCAGTTTATTTAGCAATAAACATTTATATTGGGCTAACACCTAATGTCAGTCCAGTCTTCTTTGTGGCTTTTATGGGTTTCCACTTCTCAACTTCCTTTCCATATATAATTAATGTGTAATCAACAAGCTAGTCATATGCAAAGCAATTGGTGTGGTTTGGCTGATCAGGCTGCTAGGATTTCTTTTTCTGGGAGGAGTACAAAGCCATTTCCTAAGCTTCTAATTTGCTGTTAGGAACATGCTGGATTTTTCACTGTGTCATGTCAGAAACAAGTCCTAAGAGTACCAAGAGCCTGGAACCTGCACCTACTTTATATAATATGGAAAAACTTTGTCATCTTGCTGTCAGGATAAAGTGTTAGGGCCAACAACTTGCAGTGATCTGCTGCTGACCACCAAGGCTTTTTCACATTGAAATAAGTCCATCCTTGGTCACACTTTGTAAAAATCAAAGATTTTGAGCTTTTTAATTCTATCCAGTCTCTGTTGTTGAGTCTTGAGTAAGGTGTTAGATCTGACATCTATTTGCACTGCTCTCTTGAGCCATCTTGCTTACATTTATGTTTTGGAAGGTTGATAGAATAAAAACAGAGCTGGAACCCTCCCAGGAGTTATACTGCAAGGTGTTGAGTGTAGAAAAAAAACTACCTGGAAGTTAAAATACACTAATTGTAATGGTTGCTGAGTGTCGTGTTAATGATAAGGGATAAATTTCAGGAGCTGGACTTCTTTTTGACCCCCAGGTGTGTGCTGCTTTACCTCCTGTCACAGGAAAGCTTGAGTGGCTGTAGGTTGGTAGCCTGGCAGTAAAGGAAATTCAGAATACTTCAGGCTCACATGCATGATTGTGTGGCAGCCTGCCTGCAGTAGCAGTAGCAAAATGTCATTTCTAGCAGATTGAAACTGAAACAGTTGAGGAAAGCTGAGATTTATGTCTACTTCTTTCTTCCAGACTGTAGCAAACATAGGTAGCACTCTTACAAGTGTTTCTCATGATGTTGAAAACATACAGACAGCTATTGAAGAATACAAGAAATCCATAGAAATACTCCAGAATGATGTGGTAAGAGAATGTACTGATTTAACACTCATGGTAACTGTCAGCACTGTTTTAGGTGGCAGAAGTGTGAGGTACAGTTGGTTGAGTTAAGGATACATAGAAAGATTAAATAACTGACCAGCCTTACCAGAAACTACTCACTGTATTTATAGTAACCTCTCACTTGGGGTTAACAAACTGAGCTGATAATTGAAATTTTTCACCTAAACTGCAATACAGCATTAGTTTAAGAAGAGTACTTGCAGATAAAATTTAAATTAGACATGTTATAAAACTTGATGCAGCCAGTGAGTGCTACAAAAACACTGCAGATATGGTAGTGTGTATGGTGGTGAAAGGTATATCATAACACTTCAAGGGGACAAGAGCTAATTAGGAGGATTTAATAATAGAAGTTTTGACCTGTGTCTGAAAGGGAAAACTCTATTACCTTAATTAAGAGTGACTAGAATTGTAGCAAAACATCTTTATCTACGGCCTGCCATTTATTAAAAGCTTGGGGTTTTTTTTTACAGGCATTTGGTAACATAATTTTTTTACTACTTTCCTTAGAAGGAATTAAAACAGATGCCTTCACTTCCCTCCACTGCGGTGCCAAGGACTGAGAGAAATCAGACAGAAAATTACAAACAGGTATTATTCTCCATTGCATAAGGACTATTGGTACAGGTATCACTGATACTGAGCTGTTTTGAGTGTTTTGCAGCATCTGTAGTGTACAAAAAAGTATGTTTTCTATAAAGACAATACAAATAGCATCCTTCAAGACAAAATACAGGATAATTTTACTATAGTTTATTCCTTCATATGTGCAAACAGGCAAGTATCCTAATCTGAGAGTATTTTGTGTTCTAACTGGGTGAGGAGTAAAATGACTGCAATGAATGTCAAACAAATTGTAGGTGTACTTTGCTCATGTAAATGAGTTAAAGGCTTTTTATTGAATGGATTTCATGGCAGGTACTTCCCAATCTAAGCAAATTTGGGAGTGTCATGTATTGAGTCACCCACAATGTAATGAGGTGTGGAAAGAAGGGATTCAGCAATAACAAAAAAAATGCTAACATGGGCGTTTAGCTGAATGGTTTGGAATGGAATGACTGCATTTATTTACATGTAATACGTTTGATATCTGCCTCAGAAATTAAGCTTAATACATGATTTCTTGTGGAAAAACAGGTGGTGTGGTTACTAAGCTTGCCCTGGGAAATTAGATGAATAGGCTTTGTGTGTTTGCTGACACAGCTAAGTGGTAACATTAGCAACAAAGAGGTTAGCCCTGAGGAAAATTTCAGTCTCAAACTTTGAAAGCTGGAATAACTTTCTGGAATCTTCCAGTTGGATGTTTTCAGTGGTATCAGTGGAAAGCCAGTTTGAAGCATGCCTGGTTAAACTGGGTCAGTCACCATGTTGTTACTAGCAGGAGCACAGCAGAGGTTAAGTAAACTGACATGTGCTGGTTTTATATTTCAGGAAAGCCAGTCACTGCGTGCAGTTCTGGAAGGGCTAAATAACACTGTAGTGATGTACCAAAAGTTGAATGACATCAAGCTTCTAAATGTGGATTCAGCCATTGGTAACCTTAGCCAGAGGGTTGTGCTGTTAGAAAACTCTGCCCTTGCTGTGAATAATCTGGACAAAAGAGAAAACGTATCTACCAGTGTGGTAAGTATTTGATGAGTAAGGATGTCTGCTCAGGGTAGTAGTTTAAATACTTTCTGTCCACTGCAAATATGGCTTTTCAAATGGAACAAAAGCAAACCTCAGAATGAAACTTAAGATACTTAAGATTTCATTTGAAAAGGCTGGAATTTGTTCCCTATTTCTGAACACACAGCCAACATTAAGAGTATTTCTGAAGCAGTCTTTTCTTCCCTGCAGAATCTACAGAGAAATGTCCCTAAGACTGTGACATGTAGGACTGGGGTGACTGCTTAATGGTCAGGATTCACCCACCTCTTTTACTATGTTTTAGAAGGGCACTCTGGCATGGGTCTGTTTTGACCACCAGCTTGGTGGGCCTCTGGGTTGCTAGAGGTGCTTAAATGCTAAAAAAAACAAACACCAAACAACCCAAAGAATACTGAATATGTTTGCAAATCCTTCCAGTGCTTTCTGCATGCCACACTGGGGCCAGTCTCTGAGGACCTGTTCTGTATGTTTAGCAATAAGGAACATGCTGATGTTGGTGTGATAAATTACATAACCCTCTGCCTTCATGTTTACTCTAGCATGTATTTGGCCTGTTCTTTTTTCCTGCTTCATGCCTGCTAAATTTGAAGGAAAGAAACTTTGTTGTAGAAAATTACAAGCACATGAATAAACTTGTCTGTCCTCCATTTTTCCTGTAGGGGAATGATGCAACTACCTCTCTAAAAGTGGAAGATGAAGAGCAACTAGATAATGAAACTCATTCAAATAAAGAACTGAAGGTAAAGTAAGGAAACACAGTTTACAGTGGATTAGCAGTTGATGTCTCTTTCTTTATAATAGTGTTTTAAAAGAGGCTTAATTGAGGAGAGACTTGCAAGCAGGCTAATATGATCCAGTTTATTTCAATAGACCAGAGTAGAAGAACAGTTTATCCACCGTATTTTGGGGACAGGAACTCAATCAGGATGGGAGAAAATTTGTAATATTTTGAAGTCTTGCCATTCTAACTACAGAGGTGGTTACAGAGCAGAGCTGCTGTAACATCCTTTTGTGCAGCCAAAAGAATCTTGAGGTGTTCAGACCATGTCCTAGAGGAGCAGGGGACTCAGGCAGCCAGCTCATTTGAGTCCCCATTGCCATGCTCTCAGCAAAGCTAGCCCAGTTATTGTGGGTTCACACTGCAAAGGGGCTTATGGCTTTTATCAAGTTTAAAACTTTATTGGGTTGACTTAAAGAAACTTTGCAGTAGTGGAGCCTAGAAATTTATGGAAGCCACTTCTGAGTAATGGTCTGAGGACCGGCAGTGGGCAGCTTCACAGACGAACTGAATGGCCACAGTGGGCTGGGGAGAAGAGGTAGCCCTGTTTGGATTAGTTTCCATCTTCTGGAGAGAAGGCAGGGAGTGAACTGCCTGCACTGTCAGTTTTAGGCTTGAATTGATGTGAACTCAACCTGTTATCTGGAGCTTGCTCCTAAAAAGAGTGCTCATAAAAAAGAGTACTTACTCAAAGGAGCTCCAGAAGAAAACCACGTGGTGGTTTTATTTTGAGAGGGTTATAGTGACTCCTGCACGGAGGTAGTCAGTGCTGCAAGCAAACATCTGAAACAATTATCCAATTCAATTAATGTACAAATGTTTGCTGCAAGTAAGCTTGGCTGTTGTACGATTTTTTTTCATTCTCATTCATTTATATTAAAAATATGGAAATTAGAAGTCAGATTCTTTTGCAGTCAGTGTCTGCAAAGTAGTTGCCTACTTCTCAGGGTGAAGTGCTGATTCTGTTGTTTCCTTACAGACCCTATGAATTTATTCTTTACATCTTTTTTAATTTTAAACTCTTGTTTGTCATTTTAAATTCAAATAACCTGGTGACCTCCAAGTCATTCAAAAGTACTTATATATTTTAAATTACTTATTTTCCTGATCTTTCCTATCTACTGAAAGGGTACATTTAAAGAATCTCTTTTTTTTTTTTTTTTTTCCTATATGTGCAGGAAACAGGAACTAGAGGTTCTCAGGTATCAATGCTAAGAGAGAAGCTTCAGCAGATTAATTCTCTGGCAGGCAAGACAGAAAATGACAGACCCATTGAGACATCAAAGAATGGTAAGAGTGTTGTATAATAGGAGTCCATAAACATAGATTCCCTATGTAATTCAAAGAATAACTAATAAAAATTGATAATATAAACTGTTTCTCAAGATTTCAGGTGAAAATTATGTCAGTTAAAATGGTAGGAAACTGATGGCTCTAAAACAGAAAACTGTGTGAGTACACAAGTTTGAAGGTGACTTTCCATGTGTATAGCAGGATTCTCATGCATCAACAGCTTGCATTTCAAGGCATGAAGTGTAGAAATACCTGTAGAAATGTATCCCCAGTAACATCTGGTTTTGCTTTTCCAAAATCTAAGTGTAACACAGAAGAAAGGTCTGCATGTCTGCTGGCTTATCTCAGTTTTGCACTTTCGCTGTACATATTCAGGTACTGCTGATGATGAGATTTGATACTTCATTACAACAGAACTGCTGGTTATTAATTTGATAAGCAGCAAATTGGAAGTTTAGAGCTTGCTGTTGGGGCCAATAGATACCTGCAGTGATGAGGTGAAAATAGGTGGGCAGATGTAATTTGCTTAGTAAAGCTTGTTCAGCACCTTCAGGCTGGGAAGTAGGAAGCACTTCTAAGTCATTCTTTTACAAATACACATTTCCTAATACAGCATAAAATATTGAAGCTGTATAACTGTACAAAAAAACAAGTCTTCTTTCTTCTGTTATTCCAGTTATTGGTAAAATGGGACAATACTGCTGTATTATGAAATTATTTTGCAGCATTCTTGTCCCATATGGCATCTGTGATGCAAAAAACAGCAACACTAAAAACTTAGTCTTATGAGATTTTTTATTGTTTTTTTCCTGTTAACTGTAATTCTGTGGAATTAGTAAGACTAACATAAATTTGTTTTTTAACAGTTGAAAGTAGCCTGAGTACTACAGCGAAGCCCACAGACCTTTCAAGGCTGGCTTCAAGGTCAGCTGATGACAACACAGAAGGTAACAGAGAGCTGAGACATCTGACCTTACCAGGAATTTCCAGCACTGAAGGTATTTCCTTCCTAGGGTTGACCTTTTCTTTTTCTGAATATTATGTGTAAAAGTTTAGGAAACAGTAAGTATAGCTGGAATTCTGGTGATGTGTCTGGGCATTCTGGGTGAAGTGAGGTCAATTTTAAAAGTTTGAGAACTACAGGCTTTAAAAAGAAAAATAGATAATTAAAAAAACCTAAAACAAAAAAAAAAAGATATAAAAGAAATGGTATTTAAAGGAGAGCATGCATTGTAAGTGAAGAATTGTTTTGAGTGCCAAAGTATTACACCAGGTACCTTGAGACTGGGAGAGAAGTCAAAGGCACAGTTAGGGTGCTGAAGGAAAATGAAGTAGGTTTGAGTGTGTATGTTTTGGGGTTTATTCTTTTTATTTTCTAAGAGGACATTGCCTATTCAAATGAATGGTTTCTGGGTCTTGCTGTTCAGTCTCTTCAAGCTGCTGATAGGGCAATGGTTTGCATCAGGAAATGAGTAGAGACTTTTCCCTTTATATCATCTGTGCTGTTGGTATAGCAACAGTCATTCAGAGCTTGCTTTCATGGAGGGTAACTGCATCTGTATGCAGTTAGTGGTTGTAGAATGGGCTGTTAGTTGTGGCCAGAAATAGGGATTGTTTTTTGCAAATGTAATGTAATTTAATCTAGAAATGTTGATGCTTTTATATTCCCCCTTCTATACTGTTACTGAGAGCTTGCAACAATGTAGAACTGCATACTTAGGGATGTTTTATCTAATTACTAGGCAGTGAGACACAGGGCAATAAAACTGGAAGAGCAGCTTATAGAATATTCCTCTGTACTTAAAGGAGCTGCTTTTCAATCCTTGTTTTCTTTGCAGATCTTCAGAATTTGTTTGAAAAAGCAACTGAAGATTCTGATGGAAAACTGTCACATGAAGATCTTCAAAAGCTACTTGGCTCTGCAGCCCAAGAGGCACAGAGCTTTAAGAAATTTGACACAGATGGAGATGACAAATACTCTTTACAAGAACTGAGATTAGCTTTAGGTGTATAAGATATATATTTAGAAATCGGACATTGATGGATGCTACTGTAGCTAATGGAAACTACGGGACATGAAAAACTACGTCTGCACTTTCCCAGTGTTTTACTGATCTTTGGAGCTAAATTACTGTACACATTGCCACCTCTTTTGGTTTTTTTTTAATTTGCAATTATTGAAAAGAAATTTTCAAATATATATATGTCAATAGGACGTAACATTGGGACTGTGTTCACATCCAGAGAATTCCCAAACTTGGAGATGTTTTCCTTATTCTTTCCTTTTCAAAGGAGTTCTTGTTTTTAATTTAAAATGTGTACATACTAAAATAAAACTATGGTTTTATATTCACTGAAATTTGCCTTAAATTAGGGAGCTGCACTTTATGTAGAGCAGAAGGAAATCTGTCTTGTAAAGGTGGGCTTCTTCTGCTTGTAAATATTTGAGATAGAGTAAATTATGCATATTTAAGGGGAAGTTTGTGTCAGGAGCTGTGTTGGCAGTAAGCTTTTTATAATGAGAGACTAAGCCTAAGAGGGGTGGTTAAGAGCTTCACCTAAATTTCCAGTTTTGACCAAGTATGTCCATGAATGAGTTTGGTCTCAGAGGAAAGCAGGAGTGGTAACTCATGCCCATCTATAGCAGGATTTATTTCTAGAGGGAAGAGTTTAAAGTGTTTTTATATAACGAACCTACAGGAGCAATTAGCTACCAAGTGCTTGGGTTTTCACTTCAGCATTCTTTAGCTTTGCTGTATAGCCTCCAGATTACATTTTGTGAGATGAGCCTATCTGCTGTTTTTTTTTTTTTAAAAGAAAGTATTTAATAACTTTAACAGATGCTTAAGATGTAAAAGTCTACATGCAACCTGCTGAGTGGCACCTGAGTAGTTCATGCCTTGGTGTATAGTCAGTGGTTTGCTGGTGGTCTCACTGGCAGGTCACTGGAGATCTTTTGAACAGGGTTGCTGATGGTTTCTTCTATGGACTGTTGCTGAGGTCCTGAGTAAAGCTCCTGGTTGCTAGGAGTGTGAGCAGGTGGGGAAGGCCCTGAGTAGACCTGTGGGCTGTTTCCTGACTAATGTGAGCACGATCACTTCTTGGTACTTTTACCTTCTGTGTTCTTGCCAACAGGAGGATGTAAAAAGCAGGATAGGGGGTTGCAGTCCCATTGGTGTTCTCTGCTGACACATGCTTTGTAAGAGGAGAGGAACTTACAGAGGGCTTGTTTATACTAGTGGATCTAAACACAGAGTGTGTTTATAACCTTCTGAAGTACAGAAACTGATTTTTGCAGAAGGGGTTCTCTGGCAGTCTAGGTCAGGGCCAAGCTGGATGATTTTGCTCACAAATATCACGGATCTTGTTGGGAGTTTTTTGCATGATTAGTGAATTGAAGTTGCCCACCTCACTGTTACATCAGTTTATGTGGAAGTTGGTTGATAATTGTTGACTTTTATAAAACTTCAGACTGGATGTTTTATGAATAACTGTATTCTGGAAGTGTGAATCGGTGAAGGAATGTACAAAATGGAACCCTGTTACCCATTGCCTGGGCTTCTTTCACTGCTGCTCTTCTATCCTGTTTGGGTGATGCAGACGTGACCCAACACAGAAACGCTTTTGATGTGACATTTGAAAACACACAGTATTTAAAAACAAAACCAAACCAACCAACCTTGGCTTTTGAGAGGACAAGAAGCCAACACTTGCTTCTTTCCGCTTCCCACACCCTTTTATACACTGCTGTACAATTCCTTAACCAAATAAAAAACCAAGCAAGCAAGCAATAAAAATGTAACCATCCTGGTATTTTATTTGTACATACTGTATAATAGCCATATGCCAGAGTTTGAAAATATTTTTGAAAGTTTGATTTGTATGGAGTTTAACTTACCTTAAAATTAAGGTGTATTGTATTGCCACGTGAATGTCTCAGTGTTGTTTTTGTTGCAGTCTTGCTTTACTTCCAGAAGGCTGTTCAGCAGCTGCAGTGACACTGTCAGCTCAAGACAGCGTGTGCCACTCCAGCTGCCCGCGTCCTCTGCCTGTGGCCAAGGAGCTCAGCTGGTCAGAGGTGCTGCTTAATTTGCCCGTCAGGAGCACAGTGGATTGCTAATCGCTGTAGTCACTGCTGTGGTAGGATGGACTTGTGTCAACTGAACAAAACCTGGTCGTTCTTGAGTACGGTGGTTGCTTTTGTTTGGCCTCGGGCAGCTGGTCCTGGTGTGCTGCACCCTCATCCCGGCGAGCTTTCTGCCAGGTCCCCATCCCGCACGCCCTCCAGAGCCTGCCGGGCTGGCACCAGCCGTCCCTCCCTGTCCCGCACTCCGGCTGCGGAGGGCACGACCGCCGTGGGTGCAGGGAAGTGCCTCGGTCAGAGCTGCTCCCTGCTGCGGGTCGTGCCTGCGGGTTCCCGGGGGACCCTGAGGGTCTGGGCTGCAGCAGGAACGGAGCGACGCGCGGCGGGGTCTCGCTGTGTTTTGGGGCTGGATTTGCGGGGTTTGGGGGGGCGGGGCTGGGGCGGAGCTGCGGAGCG